ACACTCACTTTCTGAAGCATTGGTGTGCAAGTTGTGGTCAGGTGTTGTCGTTCTGCCGACCAGTTCCAACAGTGAGCAATTTTCCATGCATGGCATCTGTGTGTGGAGCATGCTTCCCCAATGGAGTGGATTCACTGGGATTCAGAGAACTGTAGCAGGTATGACTGGCAGCACACCATCAGTGACCAGGACACTTTTTGGTGCAAGTTTAGCTCTGGGAAGTGGTTTGGAGCTTTTTCTTAGCCCAACCACTGAGTTGGTTGTCACCAGTTATAGTAAACGATCCTCCTTTTTTTTTTTTTTTTTTTTCGGTCTTTTTAGAGACAGGGTCTCCCTGTAGCCCCAGCTGTCCTGGAACTCACTATGTAGACCAGGTTGGCCTTGAACACAGAGATCCGCCTGCCTCTGCCTCCTGAGTGCTGGGATTAAAGGCGTGCACCACCATGCCTGGCAACAATCCACTTTTAATTGTATGCCACAACCCAATTGAGAAATGTTTATTGTTGAGTGGAGTAAGAGAGAACAGCACTTCAAAACGATCATTGTGTTTATTTCTGGTCAGTTCCTGAGGTGCCCACTTTTCTACCTTTCCAATTTGTTTAAACTGCTAAACCACCACTGAGTAGTCCAGGCTGAGTTCTTTGGCAACTTCTGTGGTTATGAGGATTGGCTGATGATGGCTCTCATCCTCAACGACCATCATCATGTTCCTCCTCTTTAAGCTCTTGTCTACTTTGAGTCTTCCTGAAGGACCACCACTGTACGCTCATGAGTCGTTTGGGGGCCAAACGCATCGTTCAGATGCCCATTTTCTAAGCTGTTTACTACCCATTTTGAACTTGAGTAAGAAAACTTCTTGAATTTGCCTTTTGTGTGACATCATTCCCGTAATACAGAGTAAATATAAAGTTGGGGGAGGAAGTGGTATTTTCTTCAGTGCTGTAGCCACTGATAAGTTTCCCTGGCTCCAGTAATAATTTCCCACTCACACTCAGATAAGAAATTCTAGTGAAACTCAGTGACTAACACACAAAATGTAGATAGGAAAGTAGGACTTGAGAATAGTGTTTCAGTGGGAGAGAGAAGGCAATGAGAGAGGGGCATGGGGCGAAAACAACTAAAATTCATTATATAAATATATGAAACTGTCAACAAAAAGTTTAAAAACTAAACTCCAAGTAATAGGTCATTAGCAAAAAACAAACTGAAAAATGTGCATTAAAATGGTGTATAACAAAACCACATTTATTAAGAACATATTCCAGTATCAAATGGCAAATTTGAAGAGTACAAAGACTGAAATTACTCTTGTACCTACCTCATAGCTTCCAAGATTTCTCTTCTCTCTTCCTCCCACTTCCCAGTTTCCAGGAATTCTCTTTCAGGGGAGATTGGAAATAGGTGCCAATAACTAAAATTCCAGCTGTGGCAAATGCTAAGGAGAAGTAGATGATGTTATATAAAGGAACTGGAAGAGGAAAGCTGGAGAAAGCATCCCTGTGGGACTGAAAACACAGCTGAAACCTGAAGAGAGAATGAATGAGCTGGAAAGGTGGAGGAGGGGACCCCTGGGCAGATGGAGCAACTGTGAAAGACTCAGGAATGTGGGGGAGGCTCCCCCATTCCAGGTGAGGAGAAGGGCTGGAGGAGAATGGCTTAAGAAGAGGCCAGAAGGAGGGAGTCCAGATGACGCAGAGCCTTGCAGGCAACTGAGAAATCTCAGCTTCTCCTGAGTTACTGAACACTGAGAAAAGAACCACAAGATCTGGAACCGGGAAAATGCTACTCCCGCTACCACAACTACAAGCAGGTGCACACACTTGGCATGTGTGAAGGCTTATATTCTTTTTAAAAAAATTTTGGTCTTTTTGAGACAGGTTCTCCTCTCCCTGTAGCCCCAGCTGGCCTGGAACGCACTATGTAGACCAGGCTGGTCTTGAACTCACAGAGATCCGCCTGCCTCTGCCTCCCGAGTGCTGGGACTAACGGCGTGCACCACCACCACACCCGGCTTTTGTAACATATTCTTAATCACCCTAAATGGAAACAGACTATTCAACAATAAATAATTTGTGAAACAATGGGTTACTGTGTAATTGTGGAAATGAACAAACTACAACTACACAGCTAACGCTGGTGAACCTCATGGAAATTAAAGAGTCCAAAAACGACAACAACAAAAATGTACACAGTGTGATTCTGTTGGTATAGAGTAAAACCTGTGAACTGGTCTGTTACCTGAAGTCAGGCTACATCAAAAGTGGAGAGACAGGCTAGTGGCAGGAGGCGGCATGCTGTGCACCTCTGTAGCGCCAGCTCACCCCTCTTTCTTGGCGAGGGCGGTAATTAATCACACGTTGGGCTTGGGATGGAGCCCTGAGCAGAAGCTCAAGTGTTTTTGCAGTGTTCAGTATATGTTTACTATCACACTTAAAAGAACTTTGAAAGTTGTAAGAACAGCTCAGTGGAGCTATTGACTAGGAAGCAATGGCAGATGCGTAGGAGGAAGAAACAATTGTTTTCTTAACTTGATCGTGAAGATGGAAAAAACCCAAATATATTCAAAGGCTATTATTTTAGAGGCAAAAGAAACAGGATGCTTTGGTGAATGAGACAATCCCTAGGAATGATAGATACGTCCGAAATGAGAGGACAATGGACGCGGAATAATAAGGTTAGGTTTTCACGTGTGGTAGTGGGAACAAAGGTCGGGCCAACAGCCAGCTGTGGGAAAGGGAGAAGGTGCATGTGCCTGTCCAGGTAGTGAGACTTCGAGGAGCTAGCCGCCGAGAGTAGGGGAGCAAATGAGCAAAAGAAATGTTGGATTGCTGAGTGCTGCTGAGAATTCTTTTGAAACCAATGATCTTGAGTTAATAGTGACTATTTCCCCTGGAAAAGTAACAAGTGGCTCCCTCCGTCCAGCAGCATCCAGCTGCACTTGTGCAGGAGACCAGTGAGCAGGATCTTTGGAATCTTGTTACACGGGTCTGGTTGCTATCATCTTGGAGTGATATAAGTCAAAATACATAAATAAGAGCTTGTCGCCCAAGTTCTCTTAGGGCCCCTGCTCCAGGCACTACTAGACAAACCATGTAACATATCTTTACCTGAATTTTTCATAGTTTATATCCTGGGTAGTGGAAATAGAGTAACTTACAAAGGCGAACACCTGGCACCCCACAAGAGGTGAACACCCAGAGCCCTGTTCTGCTCTGTGGCTCAGCCACACGCCATTCCAGATCGCTTCTGCATCCTGCCCACAGTCTCCATTAGCTTTCGTCCACACCTTGTGGGCTTGCGGTCTTGCCCCAGGTCGGCAAATGCCCCCTCTTGCGTCCACACTGGTGAGACACTAGGCCACTTTTTTTCTGCGCTGCCGGCTTCCAAGATTGTGCCAATACTCCTCCCTCCACAGCTAACTCTCCGCAGCTCCCTCTCTGTAGCTACCTCTCCACAGCAGGCCCTGCCCCTCGGAGGAACAAGTACCCCCCCCCCCCGGGACACAGAGCTTGAAGACATCCTTGGTGGTACATGCCTGCAATCCCAACACTTGGGAGGCTGATGCAAAAGGAGAGAGACTTCAAGTCCAACCTGGGCTACATAATAAGACCCTGTCTCAAGAAGTTAGCAAAACAAAGCAGAACACAAAAATGTGATTGTGGCAAACCTCAATTTTCCACTCATTATAACGAGAGGGCAGTCAATAGGTACATGTTCCAGCTTGCCTTAGGAAAATGGACTTCCCCTGGAGAAGGTAAGAGATGAGATGACGCTCTAGTCTCAGACTGGTCACCTCCTCAGCATCCAACATCTTCCCCTGCTGCTGGGGACATTGCTGGGCATTGCCTAGCACCTCTCCTCATCTTTTACCCAGCTGTTGCCTCCTCAAATTCTTTCTCCCACGATCTCTCACCTTGTGTAAAGTATAACCATGAAGTAGATACACTGAAATTGTTAAGAACCCTGGAAGATTTGGTAATGGTTTAACTTTCTGGACCCATCCCTTTACATATGATTTCAGGCTTCCCTGTTCCAAATACAGCAAGTCTATACATTTCAACAACACAGCAGCTAGAAATTAGATCTGTGGAACAGCAACAAAGAAAGCAACTTTATACTGTCATATACCGATCCTTCCTCTTCCTTCTGTTCACACTGTGTTTCCGCATTCATTCAGCCTCTCCATCATTTATCCCACAAACATGCGGTAATTGTTATGCCTCAGACTCCGAGCTACTTGTCCTCCAGCAATTCGCACTTGGCATCTCTCAACTCAAAAGGATTTCGGCTTACCCAAATTATCTTTCTCTCTTTTATGACTTGATTAAAAAAAATGGTCTCCTGGGATTCTGAGTTTTATCTCCATAACTCATTCCAGTATGTGTGAAATTGGTAATAAGTACACCAGCATGTCAAGCTCCTTCTTAGCACTTTGTAAGTACGAAATATATTTGATCCTCACATTTAAAAAAACTAGAGACACGAGGCATGGAGAAGTTAGGTCAGAAGCATGCTCAGGAGCAAGGTGGCAGAAATCAGACTCAGCCAGGCATTCTTTCTCCTGAGCCTCTCTTCCCAATCACTGCAAAGCTTACAAGCCGTGGCCTGAGGCGGGTGAGAAGGTTGCGTTTCTAAAGTGTTCGACTGTTCGTTAAATCTGTTTTCTACTTCAAATGGACTCTTTTCTTCTTATCATTGGAGTTGGTCATGATTAGGATTGTTCCCATGGCATTGAACTTTATGTAAACATTAAAGGGAGCAAAGTTTCCACATCTCTAACTTCTCTAACAAGGACTCCTTGATGGTCATTGAGATCCATAACAGCAAGATTTGTGGATTCCTGGTCCTTGTTCACATAACATGAAGGGTATTGAGAAACACTCAATGAAGAAGAATGAGAAGAATGTGCATTTTTGGGGAATGAGAGAGAGAGAGAGAGAGAGAGAGAGAGAGATCCAAATAAAATGATTAATCTGATGTCTATTTTCTGTTATATTTAGAATTAGAAGGGCTGTTTGTAGAACTTACAATATTCTCCTTGTCCAGCGGCCATGTGAATCTTCTCTGAATTGTTTCAGTTTCAGTATATATGTTACTGAAGAGAGCAAACATGTCTGGAGAACTTTTGATGAGCATCCTGTTGAAAACACTAAAGCCAGTGGACTCATGTTTAAGGTCTAGGAGAGGGAGAAGCAGCAGCAATAGTATGAAATCCCGAGTCACTCAATTTTCTGTGACAGAACTGGAAAGTGAACATTACACGGTCCTTGCTGTGGGTTGACAAGATATGAAGAAAGACGTACATTCTCAGCTCACCAGTGGCCCTCCTTAGCCTCACGTTCATTACCATTCTTTCCTTCAGACGCTTACTACTTGCCGTATTTCAATTCGTTGACTCACTCATCTATTCATACTAGGTTGAACAAATGCTTCTAAAATGTCTCCCACCTGGCCTGTATTGCTCTGCATGCCACAAATACTGTAGAAAATAAGACAAGTGAGATTCCTAGATCACAGCATTTATATAGCGTCTACAGAGGGAGCACAGCAATGAACAAATGAGTGAGCAGACGCATGGGATGGGCGGCCTGAAAGCTGAAACTGGATGATGTGTTGAAGATGGACTGTTCGACGGACTACTCTATTTTTTAAAAGTGTTATTTTTACCTTTGTGTATGCACGTATTTCCTGCACGTGTTTAAGTGCATCTGTGTCAGGCAATGCTTCCAGAGGCCAGAAGACGTCAGTTCCCCTGGAACTGAGGTTAGGGATGATTGTTAGCTACCATGTGGGTACTGGGAACCGAACCAGAGTTCTCTGCAAGAGCATCCAGTGCTCTTAACCACTGAACCATCTCTCCAGCCCCATGGGGGACTATTTTAGATGTTAGTTACAAATGATTAAATGAATTTAATGATTGGAGAAAGCATATAGGTAAGCATATAAACAAAGGTCACATATGATAAATATAATGATAAGATTTTCTAAATTAAGTCCTCTGCAAGCAGGAAGAAAAGAAAAAGTAATATATACTCAGGAACAATTTCAGACATCTTTAAAGCCAGAATATGAGGTCACTGAGGGAAGGACGTTCTTTAATGAGAAAATAAAATGAATAAGATGTATGAATCAGAAAATGAACGAATCAGGAGAAAAGCAAAAGCTAATGCGTACCACATCCACTTCTGGAAATGAGAAGGAAAGAAGAGGAGTAGGACTGTTGGAAAGGGAAGAAACAGACCAAGGCCAGAGCCTCACGGGCCTTGGACACCATGAAACAAGCGTTACTTTTCTAAAATCTCCTTTAGGTAGAGACTTCAAAAGATATTTCTCCAAAGATTATATACAAATGGGAAATAGCATGACCAAAGTGCTCAACATCATTATGAGAAAGGAATCAAATCCTCAACAGGCCGTCACCTCCTGTCCCTTAGGATGGCCACTATCAAAAGGTGAACACAGCACATGTTGGAAAAGCAGTGGAGAGACTGGAACCCGTGTGCACTCCTAGTGGGGCTGTGAAATGTGCAAGTAGTATGGACATTTCAATTTAAAATTCAAAAGTACGATGCTGGGCTGTGATCCAAAGGCTCATGCTGCACTGTTCATGAGAGACAAGATGCAGAAGCAGGCCCAAGACAAGATAATAGGTACACATGATGTGATGCAATAGTGAAATAAGCTAAGCAAGAAGAGACAAACGCAGTTTATATGAGGTATCTATGCAGAGGTCAGGGATGGGGGAGAAAGGGAATGTTAAATGGATCTAGAGGTTTAGATCTACATGATAGGAAGGTTTTAGAGCTGCTTTATGACAGTGTGGCTACACTAACACTACTATCCACTCAAAATGCTGAAGATGTTATGTTTTCACCGTTGCCGGAAAGAGTTCTTCACACACTTGTCTTCAAATCTTTATATTGCTTTGTATTCAACTTACAAGAGGTTGTGCACATATGTATGTGCACATAGATTGTGTGTGTAAGTGGGCATGTGTACATGCACATAGATTGTATGTAGGTGGGCACGCATATGTGCATATAGATTATGTGTGTAGGTGGGTATGCGTAGGTGTACATAGATTGTGTGTGTAGGTGGGCATGCATTTGTACACATAGATTGTGTGTGTAGGTGGGCATGCATATTTGCACATAGATTGTATGTGTAGGTGGGCATGCATTTGTACACATAGGCTGCAGGAAGGCACACGTGGTTGAACTTACATTAGCCGTGTTTATCTAGGCCCCTTCTCTACAGATCTTGGAAAGTTGTCCCATAAAGATCACAAGCTAGTCTAAACTTCAGTCTCTGTCACTCTGGAGTTCTCAACATCTGTGTGCTAAACAGCATCTCATTCTGTCAGCTTCCCGGGAAAATGTCACCTGACTATAGGGCTCTTTTTGCCATTCACTATGGGAGCCCTGAGAAAGCTCTCAGCACAATGTCTACATTTATAAAGATGAGCTACATTTGATACATACTGTCAGCCTGTTTTACATGGATTGAGCTAAGTATAATTAAGTGGTAGAGCAGTGTCAATATTATTTTGTTTTAGTATTTTATTATTTCATTGTTCATTTCAGATATTAAATCACATAAAACACTTGTGTATGCTCAATCATTTATATAAACAAGTACTGGGATCAAGTAATTTTAAATGTGTTAATCTTGGAAGTCTTTTATTTCTGGCTTTGGTTTTCGTTTTAGAGACAGAGTTTTGGCCAGAACTTACTATATAGACCAGGCTGGCCTCTAACTTGTGTTCCTTTTGCCCCTGCCTCCAGAGTGCGGTATTACAGACCTAGCACCATGCCTAGCTACTGGGTTTTTTAATGATTGCCTTTGCATTTTAGAATTTTCATACTATAATTATCTATATTTTGTGTTAATATGAGGCATATGCTTTTGAAGTTACAAAACTGGCTCATTTTGAATGTTCTGAATTTAAGAACATAACATTTCTCAAATTTCAAGACAACTCTAAATACAAGGGAGCTTCTACTGGTGAAGACACTGCCCCCCAGACTGGACACATGGGTGTTGGAATCTATCCCAGTTAGAGGTGTATAATCAGGGGAACTCTGTTGTGAGGGCATGATCACTGCTTAGCACTTACAGCACAGAGGCTTTAGAAGAGCGTGCAGGATACTATAATATGCCATTTACATAAACTGTGGTGTCCAGAGGCTCACATTCAATTCATCTACCTAAGTGTTTCAGGTGTGTTGTGGCTGTCTTGCTTTTACCTTGAGTGCATCAATAAGCTTTTACTGAATGAATTATAATTGGTTTGGATATTTATTCCTCAAATATATGAAAAATTGCCTCAGGTCCTCCCCCTTATATAGGACCACATCCATAACTTATAATAAACTTAAAATTTTTGTTATACAAATTTCTGTTAAGATGAAACCCACATTAGTTTGGTCAACCAGACATATACCCCAAACTTCAGCTAAAACCAGCAATAATGAATGCTCCAAAATAGCTAGAGGGAAGGTGACATGGAACTGTCTTCAGGTATGGCTAGGTTCCAGCCTTTGTCAGGTGACATGGAGCTGTCTTCGGGTATGGCTAGGTTCCAGCCTTTGTCAGGTGACATGGAGCTGTCTTCGGGTATGGCTAGGTTCCAGCCTTTGTCAGGTGACATGGAGCTGTCTTCGGGTATGGCTAGGTTCCAGCCTTTGTCAGGTGACATGGAGCTGTCTTCGGGTATGGCTAGGTTCCAGCCTTTGTCAGGTGACATGGAGCTGTCTTCGGGTATGGCTAGGTTCCAGCCTTTGTCAGGTGACATGGAGCTGTCTTCGGGTATGGCTAGGTTCCAGCCTTTGTCAGGTGACATGGAGCTGTCTTCGGGTATGGCTAGGTTCCAGCCTTTGTCAGGTGACATGGAGCTGTCTTCGGGTATGGCTAGGTTCCAGCCTTTGTCAGGTGACATGGAGCTGTCTTCGGGTATGGCTAGGTTCCAGCCTTTGTCAGGTGACATGGAGCTGTCTTCGGGTATGGCTAGGTTCCAGCCTTTGTCAGGTGACATGGAGCTGTCTTCGGGTATGGCTAGGTTCCAGCCTTTGTCAGGTGACATGGAGCTGTCTTCGGGTATGGCTAGGTTCCAGCCTTTGTCAGGTGACATGGAGCTGTCTTCGGGTATGGCTAGGTTCCAGCCTTTGTCAGGTGACATGGAGCTGTCTTCGGGTATGGCTAGGTTCCAGCCTTTGTCAGGTGACATGGAGCTGTCTTCGGGTATGGCTAGGTTCCAGCCTTTGTCAGGTGACATGGAGCTGTCTTCGGGTATGGCTAGGTTCCAGCCTTTGTCAGGTGACATGGAGCTGTCTTCGGGTATGGCTAGGTTCCAGCCTTTGTCAGGTGACATGGAGCTGTCTTCGGGTATGGCTAGGTTCCAGCCTTTGTCAGGTGACATGGAGCTGTCTTCGGGTATGGCTAGGTTCCAGCCTTTGTCAGGTGACATGGAGCTGTCTTCGGGTATGGCTAGGTTCCAGCCTTTGTCAGCAGTTTAGGTGCTGCATTAAGTTGGATGAAGTCTTTAACCTTCAGCCTTCCTATCCTTGCTCTCACCCTTATTAGAGGTGATTTTAGGTAATTTAGAAAGTCAATATACTATATATATATGCAGCGCTTTGTGCTTACTTAGTAAATAAATGCAGTTACTTTTTTATTTTTAAATTTATTTATTATGTGTGCACACATGCACACACATGCCTGGGTGTATGTAGGTGCACCACGTGCATGCAGGAGCTCACAGACGTCAGAAGAGGGTGTCGGATTCTCTGAAACTGGAGTTTCAGGTATGTGCTGGGAACTGAACCTCGGTCCTCTGCAAGAGCAATAAGTACTCTTACGTACTGAGCCATCTCTCCAGCCCCGACCTTCTGTCTGATTGATGATACACATTTTTCCATTTTTCAGTGGACTATAAACTTAGAAAGGGGTCATAATTCATTCTGAGAATTTAGCATAAAGTCTGATGTAAGTTGAAACTTTTTAAAAAATATTTTTATTATTTTTATGTGTATGCGTGTACTGCCTGCATGTAGGTAAGTGCACCCATGTCGTGCAATGCCCACGGAGGACAGACACGTCTGTCAGATCCCCTGGAACTGGAGTTATGGACAGTTGTTAGCTGCCATGTGGGTGCTGGGATTTGAACCTCAGTCTTCTTCAAGAAGAGTTCTTAACCGCTGAGCCATCTCTCCAGCCCATAAGTTGAAACTTAATGCATGACTTGAAATAATAGAGAACTTAATATTTAAGTACCTATTTGGTGACTGTTATACATAGTTTTCCATCATAAAACAATTTTTTGAGACAGGATTTGGCTCTGCAGTCCTGGCTGGGCCTGGAAATCACCCAGCCCAGGCTGTCTTCAAACTTGCAGTGATGCTCCTGCCCCTGCCTCCAAAGTAATGTAATCATGACGTGAGCCGCCATGGTACAGTGCATAACTAAGGTATCTGTAATCATAAATCAAGTTATTTGTAGCACAGGAATAGGGCACCTTACACCACTGAAACACCTTGTAATTACTCTAGTCAAGGATTTTCAGTGAGTGAATTCGTCATGAATGTTAACCTCCAAGCACTGCACATGGGATGGAGACTCCGTGATAGTGGGTCCACAGACAGCCACACTCTTGCTTAGCTCCAACGTGACTTTCACCATGAAGGACACTTTCCTCCATCACTTCCATCATCACAGCTGCAGCTGACAAGAGGACGGTTAGTTCTGAAACTTTTCCATTAAAATCTGCCAAGCCTCTATGCCAGGAGGGCCACCAAAGAGCAACGAAGGCATTTGTTTTATAAAAAGCATTGTATACAGCCTTCTGAAAGCTTTCACTTGGTCAACAGCAGACTGGCAGCTCCAAAGCTTTCAACACCAGAATGCGCATGCAGGGGCGTGTGAAGGCGGGATGGCAACAGCCTGGGCATGCAGAAACAAGCTACACATCTGAATGAGGAACATCAGGGCTCACAAAGTAATTATATCAAAGGCACCTCTTTAAATCAATAATTTAATCATCTTTACTACTTTTTAACATCTCAGAAGTGTATAACATTCTCTGGATTTAAGTTCCAATATATAACAAGTTTTTTTTAAGGCTATAGAATAAAAAAAATTATTTCAAACATTGTACTAATCTAAGCCTTTTGCCCAAATATGAAATTTTACATGGAACTAACATTACCTTTACTGATAGACCAAACATGGACACAAAACCATGTTACTATCAAAGGAAAACCACTTCCATGTAAACATATGGAAATCTGAATGATTTTCAAGTTAGATCATCGTTCTTGATACCCTCCAGAGATTTAACTGCTTATCCTGTGTACAGAATGCACACTGTTTTAGACTTGTGCTTGGCATACCACAGCATGGTGTAGAGATAGAATGTCACATTATATGGAATGCAGTTTGTTTTCTGCATTTAGGAGTTAACTCCCAAAATTTACATTTTTATACTCAAGCTCCATAAGCCAACAGCTGTTTTTTGAAAAATAAAAAGATGAGTTGGAAAAATAGATGACACAGTAGAAGTAGTTTGACAACTGAGATCATTTCACTTTCCTTCTTTGTTCTGTGGAAAGGAGACTTCTCCATCCTTTCTTTACTATGCACAGCTGTGCTTACAAGAATAGCCATGCTGCGTGTCACAGCTCCACGTGGGGACAACGGAATGGCATGCAGGTACGATTTCCAATCAGATACCCCCTCTAAGATATAGAACTTTTAGTACCTGAAAATCCAATTCAGAAAATAAGTCGTACCAAAAAAAAAAAAAAAAAAAAAAAAAAAAAAATAAGCAATTAGAAAAAGCTACACAATCTCATTGCAAAATAATTCAAGGCCAACAGAAAAATTTAAAATAGTAAAGCTCAGTGGTAAAGCACTTGCCTAGCATGTGCATTGGCCCAAGGTTCAATCCCCAATATTGCCAAAAAACTTTAAGACTTAAATTTCAGTGACTAGAGTTTTAGCGTAGAATTTTAAACATCATTGGTAGCATATGTTAAACAGGGCTAAGCACAAACCTAATATTGTTTTTGGCATTCCTTTCAAAGTTTTAAAATGTAAATATCGGGTCTTAAAGGGTTTAGTTTTTAAATTATGAAAATTATACACAGTTTCAAATGTGAACTTTTTATTTGCCTCCTGGTACCTTTGATGTAAGACACTTCAAACTTTCCCCTTATGGCAGTGTAAAATGGGTGGTTGCTAGTAGGGTTGTTAGCATTAGTGAATAGTTGTTTTGTTTTTTTTTTAAAATCAAGTTTTACTTCCTGAGTCATGTTTTCTCTAAATAAAATTTTTAATTCTTGTGTGACTTTCTAATGAGAAGTAGTAACAGATAAATGAAACAAGTAGCCATGGACTCTAACGAAGGGCTCACTGTGACTTTATACTGGATTTCTTCATGCAAGGAATGGGCTCACTGTGACTTTATACTGGATTTCTTCATACAAGATGGCTACATTTATTGAAAACTTAAAAGTGTCTAGTTATTGTGGAATTCAAAATGTGGAAATGCTTTAATTTTCTACAACAATTATTGTGAATGGCTTTCAGGTGGTCTATCTCCTGAAAAGTCTAATAAGCACTGGCTAGCATCTATGGGGATTATGTCTAAATATGCAAATAAAATCCTAAGCCACTAAAACTGATACCCCAGTTTTTCATCAACTTAGGGGAGGAAGAGACTAAAGTGTCATTTTGGGCTTCTGTACTTCCAACTCTAGGGAGGCAAATAGGTTTCATATGGTAACCCGTGGAGATCATTTCTCATCATATTCAGCAATATGAAATTTACCAGTGCACAGGGCAGTACCCTGACGACTGAGAATGCATGGCTGTGAAGATACACTGACCTTCTTGGTTCATTTTAAGCCAAAGACCAGTGGTCTTTCCACTTGCTACATGATTTTCATTTCTTGCAAACACTAATGAAGCAACAATAACATTGTCATTTTCTTTACAGTATCTCAATGTTCATTAATTAGTTTTTCACTTATCCCCTGCTCTGGCCACAATTCCACTTCATGCTGCCTCATTTTGTTATTATAGCCTAGTTAAATTTCATAATATTTTTATGTACGTTAGTGTTTTGCCTGCATGCCTATACATGCATCGTGTGCATGCAATGCCCACAGAGGCCAGAAGAGGTCATCGGATCCCCTGGAACGGGAGTTATAAGCAATTGTTAGCCGCCATGTGGGTGCTGGAAACTGAACCTGGGCTGTCCAACAGAGCAGTCAGTGCTCTTCACTTCCAAGCCATCTCTCTAGTCCCAGCTTAGTTAATTTAAAGGGCAATCGTGGTAACATCCCTGAATCAGAGACTCGGGAGAACTTATCTGACCTCGCCAACTCTTCTGAAATCAATCACATGATTAAGGTAAATCTGAGGTCCATTTTCAGAAGCAAATGAGAAAAAACAGTCTGAAAAGACTAAAGTGAAATGGGTATGTGCTTACAACTGTGGTTTCAAATCTGTATCAGCATGACAACGCCCTTTCAAAAACGCTTCCTTGGGTACAAACAAGCAGTAGTTCTGGACAGAAGCCGACGCTGCAGAGCGAAGCAGCCAGCGAGTAGCTCTGCTTGGATACACCCTCTCTGCATTGGCGATTCTATTTAAAAGTAAAAGGTTTATTAACCAATAAGCATGACTCTTACTAAAGTTAATTTTTGTGCCTGAATTAAGATGCTCAAAGTAAAGAAAAATATAGCCTTTATACATGGTTAGCCATGAGTGTTTTTAACCAATGTCATTAAATTATTTCTTCATATTGAAATGATTTATCAAACTTTGGTTACTTTGTACACGGATTTAGTTGGCTACTAGCATTGGTGGATGGATTTCAGGTATTAAACCCAAGATCAACTGAGACAACTCTCAAAGCTCCTGATACCAACCCAATACTGCTCTTTGTCATATCTTGGAGATTTCACCCTCTCTGAAGAACCTCAGACCATGAAAATTCCGTTTTCCAGGTGAATTAGCCTTTCACTGGGAATTAGTGTAAGTCATAACAATGGCTCTTGCATAACGCATCTGTTTATTTTCTTCCGGAAAGTTATCACATACTTCATGATGCTGGCTTTGCTATCTTAACAGACTGCATGCAGTTTAGCAGTCCTGAGCCTTCACCGAAGTCGACTTAGAGCATGCCACAATAATTAGGATGTCTCATCTTCGCTTTGGATGGTTCTTAGCACCGAGTCTTCTCCCAGAATTTTCCGTAGTTCATTGAGTCTCTGCTGCATCTTGGGAATTCCAGCCAGCTGACACTCGAGCTTTTGCTTTTCTTCACTCAGTGTTAAACGGACAGCAGTGTCCAGCTGTTCAAAGTGCCAACCTCCCTCGCCATCAAACTGTAATAAATGAGTGTGGTATTTCCTGCATAATTCAAATGAAATAATATTATCAGCTATAATTGTGAAAAACCATTTTAGTTACAGCTTTGTCTGATAGCCAAAGCAAATTTTAGTATTTTACTATTGAATTTTCAACATCATGCCATGTAGTTAAGTTGTGTAATTTTTAAAATCCAAAAGGCATTAATCTCTAAGAAATTCCTGTCGACAATATTGAATTATTTCATCTTTTGAGTGTATATAATTTAAAAAGGAAGATTTTGCTGTTTCACGTATCAATCTTCACAACTGAGTCTGGCCTCTGAATAAATAACAGAATTCTTAGACTCAAAGTAAGGAGAGGAGACCAGAGACAGACAGCAAAGTTAAAGGGTCACAGGGAGAAGAGCTAAGTACGCAAAGGAAATGCTGAAGCAGCTCATACGTGCGATGCCATCCTCTGGGGGTGCGTTCTACAGAAGTTATTTCTACATAAAAAATTCTCAGTAACTAAAATCTAGAAACATTTTAAGGGCCTCTTTGACTGAAATCTTTTTTTTTTTTATTTGTCTTTTTGAGACAGGGTCTCCCTGTAGCCCCAGCTGTCCTGGAACTCACTATGTAGACCAGGCTGGCCTCAAACTCACAGAGATCCGCCTACCTCTGCCTCCCAAGTGCTGGTATTAAAGGTGTGCACCACCATGCCTGGCTGACTGAAATCTTTTACACTCTTCTGTGGTCACATAGTTTAGTTTCTTTTTTCATGACTCAGCTACTAGAAATTTCACAAAGGTACAGAGATGATTACTGATAAGATAGGCAACAGCCCATGCCTAAGGGAAGCTGAGGCCACTGGGACCAGAGATTCGTGGGATGTGTGGGAGAAGAAAGCTGGAGGCTGGTCCCCATGGCTGAGCCACCTGCACTTGATCTCTTAGCTCATCTGGCTTGTGTTTCAGTTTTTCTGTCTTCCTTTATCATCTTTCTTACTTCTGCCTGCTAAACCTTCATCTGCTATAAGGACGAGTCAGCCTTCGCAAGCAGCTTCAATGTCATTAAAAAAAAAACAAACCTGAGATCCAAAACTTTGACCTTCCAACATACAAGACCACCACAAAATTAAATTGAAAACAATGTATCTATGACATCACGGGGGAAATGCAAACAACAAACACCTGTAATTCAGATGCCACACATTCATCTCTTAAAGTGTAAAAGGCGGTGATTTTTAGTATCTCCGCAAACTCACACAACTATTCACTCTCTCACTGCAGCACGTTCCCTTCACCTTGTATCCGTCAGCTGTGTCCTCCCACCCACTTCCCCTGGGCCACCACCAACCACTAATCTCTTTTCTGTCATGGATTTCTCTGTTTTCATTCTCAGACTCATCTAGAGAGTGCCTCATCAAAATGATTTCAAGTTTCACCACCGTCGTTCACTGCTTCATTTGTCTCTGTGGCTGAGTCACCGTGGGGGACTGCACCTTTGTTTGTTCGTCAACTGATGGACATTTGGGTTCCACTAACCCCCATTTTTTGTCATGCTTGGGGTTGAACCCAGGGCCTCACATGTGCTAGCCAAGTGCTTTCCACTCAGCTATACCCTAACCCTCATCCCCTTTTGATTCAATGTTTAAAATATGCTGTTAAAGGGGAAATTTAGTCACATAACTGATAAGTTAAGCAAAGCCACTGTAGCTAATGATCTGCCATCTACTGGTAGGGTTTTGAGCATTCCAAGACTTTGACCTCCCAACAGGTAAGACCGTATATAAATAAAGTTGGAAACAACGTATTTATATGCCCAAGGGGAATATGTGAACAAACTTCTGTGAGATGCTTAGTCCTGGGTTGACCCATCTTCAGTGCAACCTCTACACAGAAGATGAATGCATCTCTTATCTCTCATCAGAAAATTTCTTTATGCAGCAGAAGGTGGTTAACACTGAAACCCACAATGGTCAAAGTATAGAGAACAAGAGGCTGCAGAGTACTCATCCCTGAATAGGACACCTGTGTCAAACTTCAGCCTCCCAAAGCTTAGGGATCATTGTAGAAGAGGGGGCAGAAAGACTATAAGAGCCAGAGGTGGTGGATAACCACAAGGAAACAGTTTTCCAGATATCTGGTCAGATATACATATGAACTCACAGCAATGGTGACAGAATGCAGAAGTCCAAGCAAGCTCAAACCAGACATAGACATGGGGAGGGAAGCAGGTAAGAAATCTCAACCAAACCTAAGGAACTTTTGGCAACTGATGGCTACTGGAAATCTCTTATAGGGATGGGCTCTTGGTAGTTAACCAGGCTCCAGTGAATGGATTCACACTGAAGGACATTTGGGGACACAAATCAGACTTGATAGGCCATATTATATGTGTCATATATATACATATATGTGTATATATATATTAAAGGCATTATATGTAATAAAGTACATTAAATTGGGTGGGGTAATAGGAGAGAGGATCTAAATATCAAATTATATTATATGAAAATCACAAAATTTCAATAAAAATTTAAAAAAGGATAAAGGCCTAAAGTGCTTCAAATATGAACTCGGATAAAATTGTGGCCATTCTGGGCTTATAGCTATGCACATTCCCATGGAATCTGATCAGCCATCTGCCATAGAGTACTGGGGGGGGGTGGAGGGGAGGGGAGAGGAGGGAGAGAGAGAGAGAGAGAGAGAGAGAGAGAGAGAGAGAGAGAGAGAGACACAGGAGAGAGAAAAAGAGAGCATATAGAGACTCAAATACCAAGGAGATAGAAAAAGAAAGCATATAGAGCCTCAATTACCACTAATAAATTATGAAAAGAAATGAAGCAGAAATTCAAAGCACAGTCAGTATAGTGCAGTGTGACACCATGTGGCCAGGGGAGTTTTTATGATTTTCTAGTTTCCCATTTCTTGATTTATAGAAGGGGAACATAAACTAAGTACAGTTCATGGTTATAAAACTTAAACACACAGGTCTGAGTGGAATAGTCATTAGCAATGACTATGATATAAACAAAAGGAAAAGGGTAGTTAACACTGAAGAATCTGTCACATCAAGAATCTGTCCTGTTTTAAAGGGAGTGGCCCACTTGGCTTTATGACATACTATTTATAAAAACTTCAGCTCAGATTTCCTAAACCAAAACAAAAACGAGCTTTTTATTTCCTTCTAAGATTCCATTTTTGGAAATACCAAATTATGGTTTTCCCTCCCCTACCTTGGAATTTAAAGGAAGCACTGAAAGAATTATGTAAAATTTAAAAAAGACATCAATTTATATTCTTTCACAGTACCTGCTAGGATTATGATATTTTTGTTTCAAATAAATTTTTAGTTTTTTCTATAACTTTTAAAAAATAATGGAAAGTGATATCCATTTCCAAATAGCACATTAAAGTTATATTAGGGAAGGAAAAGGGGAAGTATTATTAGGGTGAGACATCAGAGAAATACAGACAGAAAAGGTTAGAAGGCATTTTGTCTTTTTCTTTTCTTTTTTCTTTGTCTTTTTGAGACAGGGTCTCCCTGTAGCTCCAGCTGTCCTGGAACTCACTATGTAGACCAGGGTGACCTCGATCTCACAGAGATCAACCTGCCTCTGGATCCTGAATGCTGGGATTAAAGGTGTGTGCCACCACACCTTTAATTAATTAGAAGTCATTTTAAAATTATTTTTTATATGTTTGAGTATATGGCCTGCATGTAGGTAGGTGCACCTATGTCATGTGATGTCTGCAGAGGTCAGAAGAGGGCATCGGATTTCCCTGGAAATGGAATTACAGATGGTTGTTACCTGCCATGCGGGTGCTGGGAATAGAACCCAGGTCTTCTGTAAGAGCAGCCAGTGTTCTTACCCACTGAGCCATCTCTCCAGCCCCAGAAGTCATGTTTTAAGAACACAAGGAAAGCCAGCTCACCCAGCCAGCAGTGCTGCAGACACTCACCACAGAGAAGGTCTGTGTGTTATGGACAGCAAGGAGATCCCGGCCCCCACCGCAGCCTCGAATATCTTCCCTTCCACGTCAATGCTCACAGCACTGGTGCACTCATCCAGCAGTGCGTACTTCGGTCTTAAAAAAAAAAGATTAATGAATTTGCTCTAGGAGCTATGTCTCTGGACAACCTCAGAGGAACAAAGAACGTGGCACTAGTGCACAACAGTGCACATCAGTGCACATTAGTGGACATCAGTGCACATCAGTGTACATGCATTAATGCACATCAATGTACACATTAGTGCACATCAGTGTGCATCAATGTACATCAGTGCACATCAATGTACACATTAACATCAGTGTACATTAGTGCACATCAGTGTACATGCATTAGTGTACATCAATGTACACATTAGTGCACATCAGTGGACATCAGTATACATTGGTGTACATTAGTGCACATCAACATACACATTAGTGCACATTAGTGCACACATTAGTACAGGAGGCAGGTGGCAGGGCAGAGAAGCAGCTATACCTGTTTTCTATTTGGACTAAAATACCACATTGCTCATAAATTCAAATGGAGTTTCTACTATCGTCTGACAACAATGAGCCTTCATTTTGAGCAGATAAATAAATAATAAATATGAGGCCTAGAAAAGGGGAGGTTGTGTACTGAGCATGGCTCCTACAGGAGGTGGGTCAGTCTTGGTGACAAGGGTCACTGACTATATGAAAAACACTCTTACAGCTGCTCCTACGAGTCAGGCCATGGTCCTGCTGGCGAGGATTTGGATGACTTTACGGGCATCTGAATGCTGCACACTAATAGGATTTCAGCACCATAAGACTGCATTTCCCTGTAGATGCAGAGGAGGCAATTACTTCGTGCTGCTGGGATCACACTTCTTAGAGGGAAAGAAAGCATTTGGGCTGTGTGCAGCTACTTCTTTTCTAGTCAACTTTGACTTGGTAACAGGTGTGTGCTCACCCTCACACTTGTAAACACACTGTCACTTGCTGTTCTCTCCTGTACATCTGCGCCCCCTTCCTGTCAGACTCTGCTCTTGTCCTGTCCCTTTCCAGTCAATCCTTAGACTTCAGTATGATTTTGATTGTCAGCAACATGATTTAGCTTAGTTAATGAAACTAAAGTCAACATCTACACTGTCATTTGATATTTTCATCATTTTGGGTCTAAAACTCAGTTTCAAAATTTGCCAAGACAGTTTTCCTCATGAAAATATTTTTGTTTTTTAAATAAAAGGGAGAAATCAAATCAGTAGAAACTTCTTATTTAGCATAAAAATGATTTAGCACTGTAAGTCGCTTTTCTAAGCAAGGTAGATTTGGTTATTAGTAGAATCCTAGTTTCTATTCCAGGGATGGATGGTCAAGGCTAACGGATGCAGGAGTCAAAGGCAATTCTAACATGGGACTCTGACACAGCAGACCACTCAAAGAGCAAAAGACTGCCACGCCTTCCCCAGGACCACAACGGAAGCTGCTTTGGGGGGCTGTGCTGGGTTTGGCATCAAGTACCACTTTATGAAGAGAACCAGCTTTTTTCCTCACTAAAAATTACAAGCCAAACAGAAATACACAGGGTATGGTTTACATGAAGTTGGAGAACAGGTAAACTATTGACTGAAACCAGAGTTGAACTATGCAGCATATGATTAGAAAAGGTTGTGAGAGGCCTTTCCAGGGCAACAGAAGCATTATCTTGGTGGGGGTATTGGTTACATCATGCATCCACATTTACCAAACATCACTGAATTATATTCTTAAAATATATATTTAATAATAATAATGATAAACTCTGGCTAAAGATCATATAATAAAAAGAAAGGCAAACAATAGCATATATAAACTAAAGAAGGGGTATCAATTATAATTTATAATGAAACACATTCAAACAATTAAGATTACAACCGACTTTTGTATACTGACTGGGAAGATGTTACTCCAAATGTTAACAATGTTTTTATAGCAAATGAGATAACAGGTTTCTAATTTTTCTAATTTATTTATTTTTATTTTATGTGTATGTATGTATACACATTATGCCTGAATGTGTATAAGTGCACCTGTGTCATGCAATGCCCATGGAGAACAGAAGAGGGTGTGGGATTCCCCTGGAAAGGGAGTTATGGATAGTTGTTAGCTACCATGTGTGTGCTGGAATTCAAACCCAGGTTTTCCCAAGAACAGTCAGTGCTCTTAACCACTGAGCCTGAGACAAGAGATTTTTTATGAGTCAGCTGTGCTGTCTACTGTGCTGTGGAGGCAGATAAGAGATTTTTTATTCTTTTTATTTATCTATATTTTTATTTAAAAATTATTTTTATTTTAAACTACATGTCTATGTGTGGGTGTGTACATGTGAGTGCAGATGCCCGTGAAGGTCAGAGGTGTCAGACCCCCCTAGAGCTGCCTGATGTGGTGCTGGGAACCCAGCTTCGGTCCTCTGCATGTGCTCTTAGCCACTGAGCCATCTCTCCAATCCTCTACTTTTCACTTTTACAAAATGAACATATATATTAATAAAACTGAAATTATGCATTGAATGCATTTGAAACTATGCTTTGTTTAAGTATAGACAGTATGTATTATAATCTTATTAAAAGTAAAAAATGCTGTAATTTCCTGCTTATTAAGAAAAATAGAGGATAAAGAAACAAGATTCAAAGCAAGAAGACCACCTTAGAACAGGCAGTATTCTGTATGACAATAGCTCTGATTTCTTCAAAAAGTCAGTGGTTTAAAATGTGGGCTGGGAGAGCCAGCAAGATGGTTCAGTGAGTAAAGGTGCTTGTGGCCAAGCCTGATAACCTGAGTTTGATTCCTGGGACCCACATGTTGAAGAAGAAGTCTGATTTGCCACAAGTTCCACCCCTCCCCCACACATAAATAAATAAAAATATAATAATAAAAAAGTAGGCTGGGACGGGGGAAAAACAGACTTTGGATATTAAAAAATTAAGATCTAGAACAACAAATTACAATGTTTAGCTGGGTGTGGTATCACATAACTGTAGCATGAGCCCTCAGGAGGTTGAGGTAAGAGGATGCAAGAATGTTAGGCCAGCCTTGACTGCGTTACAAGATGATGCCTTAATGTTTGTAAAAGTGTTTGATATTGTTTTAAACAAATCAGATGTAAAAAGAGTTTAGATGACAAAGGACATTAGGCATTAAGTAACTTTGAGTAGCTCTTTCTAGTTTAATTACACTTGTGACACATTATTACGTAGGAAAATGCCCTACTAGTTCAGAGAAGAGGGGGACAAGGGCAGGAACCTGTGGCTTTGCTGCGTCCTGCCCCGTCTGCCCCTCACAGCTGCCACAGAGGGAAGTTTTATGAAAGAAATTATTTCCTGCACCTCAATTTTCTGAGTCCTCTAAGACTGGTGTGAACTGATGACCTCTTTTTTCATCCTGATGGTTGTGGGGCTTGGGTGTGCTGGAACTATTAGATTAAGACCAATACCTAGTGAGCCATTTTGCTGGCCTAGTAATATATATATATATATATATGAGGATAATTTGTAAATTACATCCATCTCAGAAGACTTACAGAAAGACTGTAAGAGCCAGTTAGGAGGTGCATGACCATATGGAAACAGAGTCCTACAAGCTCCTGGGACCCTGCTCATATGATTCTATGGCAGTGGTGTCTGTATACACAAGTCCCTAGTAAGACATTTTTAAACCTGAGATGAAGCTATTGAACCCTGTTCAAAGCTTTTTGGCCATGTCAACAATGGGTGCTATAAACACACCATACTTACTTATGGTAAAACATCCGTGCCATACCCATTCTTTGCTTTTCCCCTCCTGATAGGACATCTTTCCAGTCCATAACAGCATCCCATCCTAAAAAGTAAATAAAAACACAGTTTATGAATAATTTGCTTATTTGTTACTATTTCTAACTTGGACAAGTGATTCCCAGCATGTTTTGATTATTAACAGGAAGAACTTGACATTTTGTAAAACATATGTTTGAACAGACTAGAGAGCCTCATGCATAAGTATTTTGTTTAAATACAAACTTTTAAGAGTAATAAGTCCTTATATTGACAGATACCTTGTAAACATTATAAACCTGTCATAAAATCCATTTGTTACTATGTCTCTCTAAAGGGTGGTTGTGCTTATGTGATTTCTGAGGGGGGTGGGAGAAAAGATCACCTAATGTGCACAAGGCCAAGGCTAAAATCAGTGAAGGAGGAACTAAGTTTAAAGGTTGTAACATACCCAGCAATTTAAGTAAGTTTTTCACTGTATATTCTACAGCTTATAAGATAGATGCTATTATTTACATACTAAACAGACATATCTGAGTTTATAGTTACCTATCAGAGCTAGGATCTATATTTATTTGCTGTTTTCATAGTTTGTGGCCTATTTCTTAAAACATCTTAACTATTGACTATTTGACATTAATTTAAAAAGTAAGACTTCTATTTTAAAACTAGTTTATATATACGTATATATTCTAATATGAAAGTAAAAGAGAATTTTTAAAATGAAAAACCAAGTTTCAGAATTGCATATATTATGATTTCATTTCTAAAAATAAACAGACACATATCTGGGAGTAGAATTATTGAGAATTTTATTTTCCAAATGATCATTTCTGTGATATTTGAAAAACTCTTATGAGTATCTTGGGTAGTAGCTAGGAATGATTTCAGAAAACAAAAACAAAAACAAAAAAAGTTTTACTTCTGCAGAGTCCAGTTTTCAAAAAAGAAAATAGCCTGAACTTGGTAAATCCCAGAGGCAACATCTCCAGATCTTCAGGGCCCAGGGTTTCTTTCTCCCATTTGGAAAAGCTCCAGCTCCTCAGCCTCACTGTTTTCCCTGCACTGCATTTTCATCGTTATTAAAAATTTCCAAGTAACCTTGGTGATAGGGAGAAACAGGAGCAATAAGAAAAACAGTGTTTTATTGCTCTGGGTATTTGAAAACCCCAATCATCAGATCAACTATTTAATTCTTTGGCTGGGTTTATTCTCTAGCCAAAGGTCAGAGCCTTTTGCAGAATAATACATGTTCATTGTAAAGACAATTCATCATGATGCTTCTTCACAGCTTTTTCCTTCAAAAATTATTATAAAGTTCACTGAATTTTTTAAAGAGCAAAATTAGGCCAGGAATATATTATATATCTATAAATATACATGATATGTGAATATTAGATATATGTATATACAAACTTGGGCCTGTAATCCCAGGACCTGGGAGGCAGAGGCAGAGGCAGGGGGATCATGAATAGGAAGTCAGCCGGGGCCACACTGTGAAAAAAAAAAAAAAAAAAACACCCACAGTCTTAAGTTATAAATAATAAACTAAGCAAAATAGTTACCCATTAGTAGGTAGACGATAATTACATAGGAGAGGAACAGAAATAATTTTTTTTGGATCTTTTTGGAAGAGAGTCTCCCTGTAGCCCAAGCTGGCCTGGAATGTGCTATGTAGAACAGGCTGGCGTCGCTCTCACAAGGGTCCGCCTGCCTCTGCCTCCCAAGTGCTGGAATTAAAGGTATGTACCACCACGGCCAGCTCTAAAAAGTAAAATAAGTAAATAAATAAATACAGAAGTATGTGGAGTGAACCACTTTCCCTTGTTCCCACTGACTCTCTTAAATTCTGCTCTTCAGGGGGACCACTGTTTATTTTCTTGGGTAAACTTCTGGAAATTGTTTATTTTAAAATCGATCGTTTTAAATTGATGTTATGAAAACCCCTCTGAACGTCATCTTTGTTTGGAGGAAAACTGTTGAAATCATACTTCCTTGTGACTAAGTTTTGTAACACTATGAAATGTACGTGATGATTTGAGAGAAGGGTTCCAAACCCCATGAGAAATACTCTGCTGAGAACGCTCAGTCCCCTGCTCCTGAAGAGCAGGACAGCAGAGGGGCAGGCTAACCCTTACATACTGTAGTAAACCACGCCCATTTTTCTAACAAGCCCCAAGTGTTCTGGGGGTAGCCGCTTTGCTGCTGTGACACTCCTGGCTGAGACCAAGCCAGCTGCGAAGAGAATCATTTCCCTGCTTCCAGGGGCTGAAAAAACTCCTTTTGTTTGTGTCTGTCCATCACCCGTTCTATTCTTTTCTATTCTGGAAGCTGTCTTAGTGGAATGGCATGGAATTCTTATTTCCACTCTGCTAAGCAAAGCAGTAGCTCATCTGAACAGAGCTTCAGTAGGGTTCTTCCAAAGCAAGTGATATACTTGTGAATAAAGTATTTTCCTGCTTTGCTTAAAATGTTTCATATTTACGGGTGATCTCTGCGATGTGTGTCTGCATGCGGCTTGTGAATATTTTATTGAGTATCTTTCCATTTATGTTCATTAAGCATATGGGTCTATGCTTTTCGTTTTGGTTGTGCCTTTATCTGGTTTTGGTTATTAGAGTGATACTGGCTTCATAGAAGGACTCTGGGAGTTCTCCCTTTTTCTTTTTGAATAATTTAAGAAGCATTGGTTGTAGATCTTTGAATGTCTGATAGAATTCTTCAGTGAATCCATATGGGATTGGGCTTTCTTTTGGGGTGAGAGGGTTTGTGTTGTTGTTTCTGTTTAAGCTGTTGATCTCTTCTTGGTTTAACTTCGGTGGTTTCCATGATTTTTTTTTTTTTTTTGAGACGGGGTCTCCCTGTAGCCCCAGTTGGCCTGGAACTCATGAGGTAGACCAAGCTGGCTTCAAACTCACAGGGATCTGCCTGCTTCTGCCTCCCAAGTGCTGGGATTAAAGGCGTGTGCCACCATGTCTGGCTTTCTTTTAGACTTTCAAATTTAATAGAATATAGATTTTTAAAGTACTCCCTTATAATATTCTGGATCTTTTTGCTGTCTGTTGTGATGTTTCCTCTTTCATCTCTGATTTTGTTGATTTGGAGGTGCTCTTTCTTTCTTTTGGTCAACTGGGCTAAGGGTCTCTATCTTGTTTGACTTTTCAAAGAACCAGCTATTAATTAGATAACTGATTCTTTGTATTGTTTTCTTTGTTTCTATTTCATTAATTTCTGCTCTGATTTTTGTTGTTTCTCCTCATCTACTAGGTTTGGGTTTGGTCTGTTCTTGCCTTTCTGGAGTCTTGAGTGGTACTGTTAAGTCTTTTATATATGCTCATTCTGATTTTTTAATGTAGGTCGTTGAAGCTATACATTTTCCTCTTAGGATGTTCTTTAAAGTGTGCCAAGGTTTAGTTGTGCTCTATTATCATTTTCACTTAGTTCCAGGAATACTTTCATTTCTTTTTTTAATTTCTTCTTTGACCCACTCATCATTCAGAAGCATGTTGTTTAATCTTCATGAGTTCATGTAGTTACTAGGGCTTCTTACAGTGTTGATTTTAAGCTTTATTGCACTGTGATCTGATAGGATCAAGTCGGCTTTATTCTAGAGATGCAGGGATGGTTCAATATACCTAAGTCAGTAAATGTAACAAAAATCACATGGTCATCTCAATAGATGCAGAAAAGGCCTTTGACAAAATCCAACATGCATTCATGTTAAAAGCCCTAGAAGGAATTGGTCTGGAGGGAACACACCTCAACATACTTAAACCTATATACAGTAAACCCATACTCAACATCATCCTAAATGGAGAAAAACTGTAAATATTCCCATTAAAGTCAGAAACCAGAAAGACAGGCCTGTCCACTGTCTCCACTCCTTTTCAATACAGTGTTTGAAACTCTTGCTAGAGCAATAAGACAAAAGAAGGAAATTTGTTGGGGACCCCTGTTGTGTAAAGTAGCAGTCTTTCCATGTCCGGATAGCCTATGGGCTCAGCTTCATATGCAGACTCCTTTTATCAGCAGGGTGCCTTCCCAGCATCTTCCTGACTCATCTTTTGAAGTAGCCATGGCCTCCGGCTCTGGAACTGCCAGCTTTTCCTGTGTGATTTTCAGGCAGTCTGACAGCCTGGCAGGAGCCCACTTCCATATGTAAATAGGGCATCCCACAAAGTACCTATCAGCTAAGGCTTTTACCATTACCCCCACAGTATAAAATATCCTGGTTTTCCCCTAATTAATCGGAGCTGGATCACTAAGGCTTGGAGCTGAGCTAAGTCACTGAATAAAGGGGCTGTACCACTGACTGAGCTGAGTTCTGTGTGTGATCCTGCCTCTCTGGAGAGAGCTGTCTCTTCGTAAGCCATGACTCACGGAAATCCAGCTTTCGCCGTCCTGCACCTCCCCTCGTGACCCGGCAGCTGATGGTCCCGAACTTAGAGAGAGAGTGCACGGTGGATTGGGACCGAACCCGGCCAGGCCAGCCCCGGTAGCAGAGACCCACAACGACGCGGTGCGGGACCCGCCGCACCCCAGGTGCGCGCAGGAGACCGGCGCCATGCCCAGCAGCTAGCGCTCTGAGATCCCTGCACCCCCATAGAAATTAAAGGACTACTAATTGGAAAAGAAGAGGTCAAATTATCACTATTTGCATGTAATATGATATTATACATAAGAGATCCCCAAAATTCCACCAGAAAGTTGCTAGAAATCATCAATACTTTCAGCAAAGTAGCAGGTTACAAAATCAACTTACAAAAATCATTAGCCTATTTATATACCAATAACAAGCAATTGGAGAAAGAGTACATGGAAACCTTCCCATTTACAATAACCTCAAAAATAGCCTAGGAATAAACCTAACTAAAGACATTGAAAATCTCTACAATGAAAATTTTAAATCTTTAAAGAAAAAGATAGAGGAAGACACAGGAGATGGTGGGACCTACTGTGTTCATGTATTGGTAGAATTAATATTTTGAAAATGACCATCCTACCAAAGGCAATCTATAGATTCAATGCAATGCCACTCCCATGATATTCTTCACAGAACCAGAAAAAACACCCTAAAATTCATATGGAATCACAAAAGACCCCAGGTAACCAATGCAATCTTGGGCAAAATTTTAGAACTGCTGTGGGGATCACCATATCAGATCTCAAATTATATTACAGAGCTATAGTCCTAAAAACAGCATGGTACTGGCACAAAAATAGACATGTAGATCAATGGAACACAATAGAAGATCCAAACATGACTGTATGTGATTTCAGCCACCTGATAATTGACAAAGGTGTCAAGAACACACAATGGAAGAAAGACAACATCTTCAACAAACGGTATCAGCAAAATTGGATCTCCACCTGTAGAAGAATGAAATTGGACCATGTGCAAAAGTCAACTCCAAGTAGATCAAAGACTTCAATATAAAACCGGAAACTCTGAAACTGCTAGAAGAAAACATACGCAGTACCCTATAAGATAAAAGTGTAGGAAAGGCCTTTTAAAATTGGACATCAATTGCTTAGGAATTAAAGTCAACAATCAACAAGTGGCAACTCATTCAGCTGCAACGCTTCTATATAGCAAAAGAAACAACCAAGGAAGTGAAGAGAAAACCCACTAAGTGGGAGAAATCTTCACCTGCTACAAATCCAATAGAGAATTAGTATCCAAAATATATAAAAGAACTCAAAAAACAACTAAGAAATAAATGATCCAATAAAAAGATGGGCTAAGGACCTGAGAACATTTGAAAATTGCTGTTCTGACTTTTTTCTACTTCCCTGTTTGGAACTTGTGATGCTAATTACTCTTACCTTTACATCTCCTATTCATGATTCAAGGACTTTCTTCCTCCCTTGGAGACAAGAGTTATGCAATTTGGGAGTCTTTTAGATAGACCCACTGAAGGGGTACTCCAATTGCCTCACCCCGTGTCCCTGTTCAGCATGGAAGAAGCCAGAGCAATCTGCATCCCTATTCCCTGTTGGCAATTTGGGTAACCCCTTCAGAGGATGGTGTGATAAGAATAGGAGGTAGGAACTGGCTAGGCAGTTAGGGTAAAAAGACCCCAAAGAAATGTAGCCAGTTTCTTGGCTAAAAGTCAAAATGTCCTTGGGCCTGTTAGCAACATACTCTGTTCCAAAGGCCAAAAGTGTCAAAATGTCAAAAGTATTTGGAAGCTTGCATCTAATCCTTAAAAGATTTTAGGGTTACCTCTTCAG